AAACCCAGTCTTATCGAAATAAGCCACTACACTCGTAAGCCATCCTTTGCACAGGTGCATGTAATGTCATGCCATGTATTAAAACGCAATTTTGTCACGGCTTACCAAGCAAATATTTCGGTTTTGGTGACGAACCAAAGTCAAAGTTAGTTAACGAATCTAAAATGAAAAAAACATGAACATTTATGGCGTCCGAGAACCCAAATATTTCCTCGGAACAGTAAAGGAAGCGGGTCGCCGATTACCAGACAACTCTACGGAGATCACATTTGGAATGATGTCTAACACCATTAACGCTCGCTAACGGCGCGAGCCAATAGCTCCCGCTGAATGAGAGGGCAGGGCGCCGGAACCGAAGGGGAGGCTGAACACCCACTTTCTGAGAACCGAATGTTGGTCCTATCGCGTTCACGGAAAGCGGCAACTTAAAGTTCTGCCCCCGACTTGGGAGAGCATCCATCGCCCCTGTGAGAGTTAGAAGTGATCAGTTACTCTGTCATTGAAAAGACAGCGGCATGAAACCACGCAGGCTCACTCCGTTAAGCACCAGGCGTTGGGGCTGCACTCCAAGCCGCGTCTGGAGCCTCTGCGGTGTCAGCGGAGCTACAGTCGGACCAAACAGCAGACAAACACGCACACCTGGCCCGACACGAGCACACGCACGCGGCCCGCCCCGCGCCGGGCTAATAACCAGCTGCACCGTCGTCGGCGGCGTGATTGGCGCGGCGAACGGCCGCGTTGACGAGGGAGCAATAAAGCGCATCACGCGGCGCGGCGCCACCAGCGGGCGCGCGCCGGCCGCTGTGACGGCGCGTGACGGCGCGTGACGAGCCGTGACGTGACCGGTGCCGTCCACCAGACGACACCAGGCACCGCCCGGACAGGCGCCGACCAAGAACATCCGACAAAGCCGCACGCCGTGCCCATCGACCCCGTGCGTGTCACCGGTGCCGCGGAAATGGTCGCCAGGCGGCTGCAGCGGCCCCAGCGGCCCGGTCCCCCACACGTGCGTGGTGTCCACGCCAGTCCGCGGGGCGCGTCGGCCTTCCCACGAGCGCGCGCGCGCGGCGGCGGACCGCAGGGCTAGCGGTGCTGCGGCCGGCGGATGGGACTGAGCGCGGCCGCCGCCAATCCGCTGGCCGTCAACGCGCCGCCCCAGCTCAGTCAGCCCCAAATTAACGACATGCACGGCGCGGGACTTAGCGGCACGTGGCCGTTTGATGGCCACTGGCGGCGAAGCGCCATACGAAAAGAAAAAAAATAACGTGACAAAAGCAAGACCATTTGTCAGAATGGATTTGACAGTGCTGAAGACAAAGCATTGTGGATGAAATTAACGCCAGGTGCGGTTTGATTCCACACACGCCAGATCCCAGAAGTGCTGGTCATTCAACACCAATCCAGACATTTCGAGGGCTCACGCTCGCTTGAGGACGATGCGAAAACCTCGCATCCAGTGGCGTAAGCAGGATTTGGGCTTTGGACCCCGCTGCTTGTTAGCAGTTTATAATGCCGGTAGAACTAAGAGAACATCGGCACATCAAGACGGTATTCCAATGCATCAAAATAATTTTCCAAATCAAGCAGGGCCCTTAAATAAAAAAACCGCAACTTTTAGCACCGAAGAGGGCTATCTGAACTATTTTCCTGTCTGGAAAGGGGTTAAATTATGTTTTGACAATCTTTGCCCTCCCCCCCCCCCTCCTGGACAAAATCTTCGCTAACGTCTCACATATATTCCACATCATGAATATGACCCCAAGCAAAGATCATGATATCATGTGTCCACACCATGATGTAGGTGCATTTCTAGTCATGAGAGCCGATCGATGGCTGACGTCTACAACAGCGTAGATGACTCGTGCCGACCTCGCACGGAATGACCGGACGGCGAATGAACACGGAAATCCGCATGCTCCAGCATCCCAAAAGGCGGGTGCCGCTGCCGTCCGCAACACCGTCTCCGTGGCCAGGGGACAAATACAGTAAGGGATTGCACAGCACCAACTCTGAATGTGCCCAAGATGCAGTGCCACGCCCCGCCGTAGTCCTGTTCAAGACTGCGGCGAGGGGACGGCCCTGCTGACCGCGCTGGACATTTGGCTGCGAATCTTTGTCTATATTGTTCAACGGTCGGTGGGTGACAGGAACGTATCAGGGACGTATCGACCTGCAGTGCTGCCTGGCAGTGACAGGAGCGTATCAGGGACGTATCGACTTGCGATGCTGACTGGCAGTGACAGGAGCGTATCGACCTACAGCGCTGGCTGGCGGCTGCCGGCAGCTGGGTGGACCCCGTGGAGGGCGAGCCCGCGTGCCCGCCGGCAACTCACGCGACCGTGGGGCGGGCACGCCCGCACGCCGGGCCGGGCCGCAGTCAGCGGTCCCTCGCTGGGATTATGGAGCACACCGCCCGAGGGGTCTACGTTTATGAACGTTGGTCTACCAGGATTTAGACGTTCCCCTTATTGTCCTGGGGGCAAGGTATTATTATTATTAGGTACAATATTGTCCAATATTATTGCAAGGTACAATATTGTCCTGCATTTCGGAAATTTACATGCCTTGAAACATTGGAAAGACTTTTAACCAAAATCTAAAAATATCATGCATTCTGTGTTCGGAAACTAAACAGGTCGTTCTGGAAACCGAACCACATATTTGACACGGACCTTTCTATAACCTATTGTTGAACATAATTGGCACACATACATACACAAATCCTGCATCGCTTTTGTTATCCGAATTCGAATTCGCATCTGCATGCATTTGCCAGAATTCATTCCAGATCATTTAGTTTGCGGAGGCCTCCTGAATGACTGACCAGTGACAGTCAACGACTGAATACATCTCCCGATTGTTCCTGAGCTCCATCGTTGTTTTTTTAAGCCCGAGAACAGGTTCATGGTATTTAAATTTCACATGTGCACTGAAGAGGGTTCGTGGGGATGAGCTTTGGCATACAAGAATTGACTGTGCGTGTGTTAGGAAAGCCGAGCTGCGGATGATTATCCTGAAGCACGCAGTTCATGTGCGAGAGCAAGGTCTGCCTATACTTGCTTTATATTTACGCGATTCAATTTGTGCTCGTTCTCAATGCAATACTTACCCTCATACATGAAAAATGTCGTCTGTGTATACTTTGTTGGAAACTAGGCATGCATCTATGCGTTGTTAACGCTTGGTAGTCTCGCTGTCATGCTTTCAATGCTAAGCTCTCATTAACCTCTGGTTCCCGCACTGAAATTATGGCCTTTGTTTAGGAAGCACCTTTATTTTGGCTTGGGACGGCAGTCCCCTATTAAAGGGAATGTTCCACACTTGAAGATATTGCAGCAAGCACCAGATGTGATGAAATAAGCTTATTAATACAATTGGCATGCTATGAAGTGGAAAAACTGCTCTAGACAACACAGATTCCTTATTTAGTGAGCATGCTCCTCAATGCGCCATTGTTTGATTACGTCATCGTATCTTGCACAACACTATGGAGAGGAAATCGACGTCCTTCATATCTGGAAATCTTGCTCACAAATATTTATATTAGCTTTGATCGCCGTCAATGTCATGTCAGATGGTCAATGAAATGACAGGATTTTAATGACGTGACGTCATGCCTGCCTCAGTGACCTTGAAATAGTTGCACGAAAGGGTTGCACATTCCCGCGGGCACCTAGTTCAGAATTTAGAGGGGTTTGGATCTTGAGATGAGCAGAGCTTGAACTTCACCGAATTATCTCCAGGATGGCTATTTCAGTCCAAAACCCCATACACATGTTGAACACCCCCAAGTCCCGCCCGCCCCCCTCCCTACTTGCACGTGACTCAGTGCAGCAGCCAGCGGCACGATTGGTCCTCCGTCAACCCGTATCACGTAGCTCTGACGTCAACAATGATGACGCCATGCCACCAGTATTCACAGCGCAGCGGAGCACCACCTCCGCTACCCTTTGAGACCTGTAACACCCGTTTATCTTCCTGTTGAGCGTCAAAAATGTCGCGTCAAGCCAACTATTTCTTTCACCATGTTCAATTTTCCGGTCTGCGCTACACCCCTGCTTCTCAGTTCAAATCCCAATGTAAAGGTGAACAACTCCCTTTTTATGCCGCAGTACACTAAGGCGGTGGGCATCCTCAGTTGGGGTGTAGTGCTTTTGAGGCATTGGACATCTCTTTCGTTTCCACCAGCCAGATGTGGCGCTCTAATTGAACTCTCAAACGTCTCTCTCTACCATCAGACCGCACTCCATGCCTGGGTGACAGGCGCCTCTGCTGGGGCATAACAGTAAATACGCTCCATCACTAACGCTGGTGATTTGGGGATTAGGGCGCTGATGTTAAAGGTCACTTTGCACCCATAACCGCTGGCAGATTCCGACGAGTTCAAGTGGTTAGTCTCCACCCACTCGTAAGGCTCTCAGCATACGTCTGGGGGCGTATCCTTATCTTTGGCCTGGGGATGCCCCTCCACCCGGGCAAGGCACACCCATGTTTTTAGGGCAACCCCACACCAGTCAGTCGTCCTTTCACTTGGGTTCAGAAGCGCGTTGTACCCGGGATTTGGTGCGCTCATCCCCAGGCTTCATATGATAGGGGCGCCTTTATGGGATGAAAAAGTGCCAAATTGTTCATGTGCTAAGGAGGTGGCAGGGATGTAAGACCCTCTCAGACGCCCGGCCCGCACAGCCGCGTAACCACATAGATAGGAAGTTCCAGACAAAGACATGAATAAGTTATTGCCACACAGTGGCCGTCCGTTTGCGTCATCTTTTCAAATCGCGAACAGCGAACGAGCCCGCGCAGTCAGCAGCCAGCATCCATCCGTGGTATCGCAGTCGGCAGCGCTTCACTGGCAGCGGCCTGGGACCGCGGCTGTGGGTCTCGGCCGAGGAACGGGTCGGCCCGCTTCAAGGTCGTGCGACGGCGGCGGCGGGCCGGGGGTGGAGGGGGCCGGCGCCGCGCCGCTCCCCATCAGCTGGTCAGATCGGGTCACCACTCACCCTGGCTAGCAGGCGGCCCGCCTCGCACCGTCAGCCCGATGCCGGGCCGGAAGCCGCACCACTACGGCCCGCCTCGATCTCCAGAGCACCCGACGCCTCCACCAGCACGTCACTGCTGGCCACGTACGGCGAGCGCGACAGCTCCCAGCGCGTCCGTTGGCTGTAGATGCCGCCGACCTCCGTCTCGGCGCCAGCCAGACTTAGGGCAGCCACCAACACCAACGCCGGCAGTCGCCAAGCGTGCCCCGCCATGGCCGCCGCCCGCTCCCGGAGCGCGCGCGTGCTGTCCGTCGCTCCGGTGCACGATCGCCCACAGCTCACCGCGGCTCCGCCGCCGCACAGGCACTCAGCCGCCGCCGCGCCGCGCGCGCCCTCCCAGGCCAACCGCCTCACTGTTACGCATTGGAGGTTTAAAACGCGGTCACGTGACTATGACGTCAGAACAGGTACGAAGCTCCAGTCAGTCCAGGTGCTGGAGGGGCTCGGGCGCGTGGTCCGCACGAGGGCGGCGGTCACCAGCGCCGACGCTGTGCTGTCGCGCGGGCGCGTATGGGGCTCGGGCTGCGTTGCTACCTTGACGGACGACAGAGCGCGGCCGAGGGGCGGCGACGGGAGTACAGGTGCATTGTCATGACCAGCTCCTCCCCGCAAGAGGCAGAGGGGGCCGCGGCGGAGCGTGGGCCCGTGTAGGACCTAATTGTAAGGGGGGAGAGACGGGCGGTGGTTTGTGCGGGGTGGACTGCAGCGGTGGAGGCACGGGACCGGCACGCATTCACAGAACGGGCCGAGTCGGAGTCACGGAGAATTTCTGATGCACAGGCCGAATGAGATTGCTCGTAGTCACTTCAATGCAAGAGCCAACATTCGAACAATGTGCCCTTTCATGCTGAACACATATGACAGGATCATTAGAAATAATATTGTACCAAAGGCAAAACAGGTCTACGAACAACCAAGTTTATCCCGAAATTCAGATCCAGTCCAGCGGCAGCGGCAAAAACAAATCTGACCAGCAGCAGATCCAGCATCGCCTTTTGGTGAGGTACTAGCCTCAGAACACTGCCCGCGTGGTTTTCACATCAGTAGGGAAAAGGGAAGCGGAGAAAGACGGCAGGTGAGAAAGACACGACGATGGAGCTTGCTTTCGCCGTTTTGTGTGGGCATTGGCCACTTGTCGGCTGCGCAGTGTCTTGAATGCGCTACCGTACCCAGCGTTCGCCCCTCGTGAGGCCCATTTGGCGGCGTTGCAATCGATTTTGACATTCCATGCTCAACCATTTTAGTGCCCATTGTCTTGTCGTATTACTTATTTGACAAGTAAGGTTGGTGGCAGCAAGCTTATTTTAGATATAAGCGCTGAGGGCGAACAAAACTGAAGGATGAAAAGCAGCCAGCGCGAAATCCTTGAAGAAGCACGCAACGCTTTCTTCAAGGGGAGAATAAAATGCTTCTGCTTTCCAGATCATTAGCCAATAAATGCCCTAAAATGGCGCAAACGCCCAGACAAAGGGCCTGAACAGTAGGCTTCTATCCCTCTGGAATAGATCCAAGGGGAGATACACATGCTGTCCCGCGGGACAAATACAGATGTATCCACACAGTATAGGTTTACGGTGGACGTCGCTATCTCCTCTCAGAACATCTTATCATCAGCGGGTCGCTATTACCTCACGAGTCCCGAGCTCCGGACCTCTCGTTCGATGTTCAGCAGAACATCTCATCATCAGCAGGTCGCTATCATCTCGAGTCCCGAGCTCCGGACTTCACGTTCGATGTTCAGCAGAACATCTCATCATCAGCGGGTCGCTATCACCTCACGAGTCCCGAGCTCCGGACCTCACGTTCGATGTTCGGCTCGCTCTTCAGCATTATAATTTTCGTCGCATCGGGATGGCCTCTTCGTAAGTTGCGTGGCTGTCGAACCACTAACGCCCCCTACCCGAAAGGGGGACCTCGTTCCCCTTCACTCGCACAGAACGTCGCCTCCACCTGATCTTTTGACCTGAAGATGGTCTACGTCTAAAAATAAATGCCAGACATCTTCAGACTCCTTTTCACCTCGTTTTCACGCTTTGTTCAACAAACATCTTCCATGCATACCCATATATTTACACTGAGGTCTATCGATCAAATAATTACCCGCGATTTGTAAAACATAATACGTTCAAGCACGCATAGTGTCGCGATAATTGTACATTGCAAACATCACGCCATAAACGTATTCATACTACGATGCGTTTTAAGATTACAGCATCTCCTTCATAAGTTGCCTTCCGTGCCTGTATTGTCTATCCAAGGTCCATGCTCTCATGGCGGCCCCATACTACGTCATAACCCGGCGCTAAATGTGCAGAAGTAGCATTAACAAACACATTCTAGTTAACATTGACTGGGCCTCGAGCCATTTCGTCAGAATTCTCACAGCCTGCTGTCCAGGTTCATTACCAGGAATGAAAAGTGACAAATGGCGACTGGCAATACACCAGAGCGCTCAATACCCGTCGGTGTGATGGACAGTGAGCCAAAAACGGCATCGAAACATCGGTACGAATACACTTTGTAGCCCCCTACCCGCCGTGCAAACCATTAAACATTCCTGAAATTAAATGTTATCAATGCCCTGGTCACAATTAAAACATGATGCGCACAGTCGCAATCCTTCGCTGGCCCTCAAGAACTTCAAAAACATACGTTAAATGATATGCCATGCCAGCACACTGGCCATAAATCAATCCGCATACCCGTTCATAGGACGCGAAGCATCCGCAAACCGAGGCGTTTGCGATTCCTTCAAAATGCGCAACGTAAAACACAGACTTATCACCACGCCTACAGCCCAACCCTCATAATTCCCCATGCCGGATTGAGCCCGGATCGCCCGAGGGTCTAAATCAGCCATTCCATCGTGCACCGATATCAATTATGCACCACTCCAGGTGAACCCAACACATTTCAGGACAAGCAAGCTGTGAAGGTCAGCTGCCTTGGCAAAATACAACACGGTCAGATCATTTGCCGGCTGTGTTAGATCACCTTTGTCGGAACCAGTGTAGGCTTGTGCGGTGTGAGCACTTTTGGAACAAAAATGCGAGGTTTTCTCTCTCTTTGCGCATTAAGTAAAATCCAGGTCAATTCTACTGACTTAGAGCAGTCATGCAACTAAATTCAATTAATGTTACCTGAAGCAGCATTGTCAACTAAACACAAATGACCTTTCCCTGACGCTCACCTTGGCCTGAGCACACACAGCAGCGTTTTTCGACGCCGGAGCGGTGCGATGTGCGGGCTGGCACAGCCATCATTACAAGCGCACATAACTGTGTTCTAGTCAGGACATTCCTGAGGTCTTTGCCCTGAGGTCACACCTGTGTCGCCGTCAGTTGCAAGGCAGAGGAAATGCCGTCAGAGTGAGAATGACCAGGGATACCAAATGCCCTTTAAATCTCACCGATCTCATGATTCGACCCCAAGATAAACATACATCTCCCCGCGAGGCGGTCGTGGCTGGCGAAATACAGCACGTGGTGCCGCGTTGGCACGCTGTGACGTAGCGGGGGGGGGCGGTGTGCGGAGCCGATGTCGGCTCGGGTCCGGTCCAGGCCGAGCCGACGTCGGACGGTGGCGCCGCCTGCCTCAGACCGCCGGCTCCCGGCGGCGGGCTCGGCCGGCGGCCGCCATCCGGCCGGCGCCACCGTCCGCCACCCCGCCCGGCCCGGTCGCGGTCGAGGCGGAGGTGCGGAGCCGATGTCGGCTCAGGTCCGGTCCAGGCCGGGCCGACGTCGGACGGTGGCGCCGCCTGCCTCAGACCGCCAGCTCCCGGCGGGCGGGCTCGGCCGGCGGCCGCCATCCGGCCGGCGCCACCATCCGCCGCCCTGCCCGGCCCGGCCGCGGTCGAGGCGGAGGTGCGGAGCCGATGTCGGCTCAGGTCCGGTCCAGGCCGAGCCGACGTCGGACGGTGGCGCCGCCTGCCTCAGACTGCCGGCTCCCGGCGGCGGGCTCGCCCGGCGGCCGCCATCTGGCCGGCGCCACCGTCCGCCGCCCTGCCCGGCCCGGCCGCGGTTGAGGTGGAGACGCCCCGGACACCACCCCTCGGCAGCACACCATCTCCACGCGAGCGGCGCCAGGCGCGCTCTCAGGCCGCACCACGGCCTACTGAGGAGCCAGCCAGCCGTCACTGGCGATCCGTCCGCGGCGGCCTGGTGTCCGACCAGATGGGGCCTGAGGACCAGCACCATGCTGAGACACTGGGATACAGCCCTAGCTACCACACTACCTACTCTAATCTAGCCCGATTGTCCCGGAAATCTGGCGTGCGGAGTTGTGCAGCAGCCGAGCTTGGCCGACGGATGCGGGTCCGGTGACGGCGCGCGCCGTGTGGGCGCGGCTAGGGCTGGCCGTCACCGAGGCGGCCGAGCGTCTCCAACAGGTGCTGGACGGAGGGCCGGTCGGGCGGGCTCGTGCTGCAGTGTACCAGCGCCAGCCGGCCGGCGCCGTCCAGTATGAAGTCACCACCCATCTGGTGCGGGTCGTCCTCCACGCCGCGGTAGGCGGCTGGCAGCGGCCGGCCGGCCGCCTTCTGGCCGCCGTAGTACTGCAGCAGCTGCTGTGCTGCCACACCTGCCGCACAAACACAGCTGCAGCGCTCCGTCCTGCAACACCTGTGCAGTACTGCAGCGAGCTGTGCTGCCACACCTGCTGCACAAGTTCAGCTGCAGCACTCTGTCCTGTAACACCTGTGCAGTATTGCAGCGAGCTGTGCTGCCGCACCTGCTGCACAAACACAACTGCAGCGCTCTCTCCTGCTGCACCTGCGCGGCACACGATCTTGCAAGCGTTCTCAGCTGCTGTGGAAATGATGTGGCGACCTTCCTTTAATTATTGCTCATTCGCCTACCGTCATTGTGTGTCAGACTACGTACTTCGTCGCCGAAATCATCCATTGATAACTCAGTCAACCCATACGCCTTCTCACACTTTGTACTGACCATGTGCTTAGAGAAAGTGGGGTTTCAATAGCTATGGTGGAAATGACATGCAATGAAGGAGGTAGTTAACTGTAACAGCACAGGGGCAACGGGTAGTTGTGTGGCTCCTGCAAAAGGCCAGCAGCCCTTGATATGACCCGCCCGGCGAGGCCGATCGGCACGCATTTAGACCCTCCCGGAGATCGGGCGGTGCTCCATCGCCAGCATATGGGCCCCCGTCCGCGAGGCCGCCATCGGCACGCATTTAGACCCTCCCGGGGATCGGGCGGTGCTCCATCGCCAGCAATTGC